CTCTGTGGAGTTCAGGTCTGGCGAGTGCCGTCATCGTCATCACTGCCACAACGATCTTTCCTTTATGCAGGATACATCTTAATGTAGCACCGACCACATGGAAACGCGTTGTGCGTTCGGTGGCGGCTATCTTAGGTTCTGGTCATTTTGCAGCAGTCTGCGTCAGTCACAGCGTCCGCCAACCAAAATGAGTGTTGACAGTCACGAAAAAAAACCTATTTACAGTGGCCATTTTAGAACGAGCGTACTCGACCTGTGGAACAATCCTCTATATTCGCTCGACATTTTGCATTCCCCATTGTACCTGTCAGCAAAGACTGCAGCAGATAGAGTGAGCAGACACACTGAGGACACTGTATTTGTAGGATCCAGTCGTGATGCGACCCCGCCACCTACCAAATCTGGCGCTGTTGCTGCCAGTGTGGGAGGAGGAGGAGGAGGAGGAGGAGGAGAGGTGGGTAGTACTGGTAGACAAGAACTATTATGACAGGTAATGGGGACAGCGAAATGGCAATTTCTAGCTTGTTGGAAGGAACTACTCTGTAATCCTCCAAAATCAGACGATAACGCACCCTGTGAGTAATTGAGTGTTATGTTCAAAGACAAGTAAGCCTGAAACATCGTATACATCTTCTGTAGACCGAGCTCAGTTAGTGTAATTCCTATGTAGCACTCTTCATTATACTGACGCTAAGAAATGTAAAATGGAGTTGTCCAAAACTCTGATGTATATGACATCCAGAATACTAACAAAACGGGGCTGCATCACTGTCACGTCTGAATAGCTCCCTGAGCTACAAACAAGCGGTCCTGTCGAGCCTACAAATAACCGGACACTTGAATGTTTCGTACCACCAAAACATGTCTCAAAATTGCAGACAGAAGTTGTTCGTCACTGATACAAGTACTAATCTCCAATATTCCAGGAGGTTTTCTAATGGATCTCTTGTCATTTCCATACCCTGTCACTAAGACATCTGAATGACATCTCCTGGATAAATTAGATCTGATTCCAGTGGAAAGAAAAGACAGGTTCTGCCAATTTTAGATACCTCTGCGGCGCGCCAACAGTTGAGTTATTTTGAAAACGGTCGAACAAAGGGCTAGGGACACGTCACACCACAGGTTACGTTTGCGCTAAATCCCAGGGGACATCTTTTGTTGTCTCAACTATAGCCCTAACAGTAGTCTTAACCCTGGCCATTCTGACCCCAACCCTAGCATTCACCCTAACCATATTCCCATGGGTTATCTTAAAACATTTAAAGGAAACTGCTTTATGTTTATTTAAATCCCTGGTACGGGCAAGTCATATGGAATTCATGAAAATTCTGGATGCACTTAATCGTGTGGTGTTAATAGATTCCATCATCGAACTAAGTGAATGCAATTTACTGGCAGCATGCTCACCAGTCAAAGTAGTAGCTAGTGCAATAAATAATCCGCAAAAAATTAACCTAGCAACTGTCAACTGCTTTGTTTGTTGCATTCAAGCCCGACAGTGCCAGGTAAGATGTAAAAAGGGAAAAAATCTAAAGAATTGCAATTCGCTTAAGACTAAATGTTATCGTGCCAGGAAACGGAGGGGCTTTCACCACCAGAAATTCGCTTATCAGGATAAGCTTCTTATGGCGAAGTCGACTATCAATCCTTGCAATGCGGCTTTCATGTGCATAGTTAACCCTATGGGGCATGTGACTTTGGATCGCAAACTAAAGTCGCAGATGACAGATCAATTGCTGTGCGACGCAAACCCCCCATTGCGCGACTGCGCGTAGTAAACCCGGACGTGACTGCCTTCAGGTTGAACTTGAGTCGCGTTCTCCGGGGTTTAACAGACTGTGCCATCTCCATCTGTTAAACAGCAGGCTGCGTTACTGCCTCTCGTGCTACTGGGTTTTGCAGTCAAGGGAAAAAACAGTGACATGCCTTGAATTACTCTAGTCAGATTGTGACGGAAAGAAAGGTATGGCACGTACAGATGGTCGCTTTGCTGCGAACGACATCAAATTTCTCGAAGTCGAGTGTTTTGATAGTCATGTCCGACATCGGATCTGTCCATGGCACCACCGGTCGGTGTTCTTGCATCCTTGTTTAGGGTTCTTTATTTTTTGCATGGCTGCAGCTGCACTGGAATCGGTAATCGACACATGAGTTCTATCAAGCACAGGTTGCGTCCAATGGTTTCATCAACCGCCGGCGGAAGGTCGGGTCACGTGCTTGAGTGAACCATTCTCCGGGTGATGAGGGGGATCCAACAGCGGTTTCAGGGACACGTCAGTGGTCACGACGAGTGGTCACGGCGATATTGCAGTATCTGGGGCTTTTCAATTATTTTCTGAACAACAATGACGTCAGTTGACCACCACCAGCTGGTTCTGTCTGTATACCTTCATCAACAATTGTATGTCGGGGACGATCGCGTCCGTTACCCCGAATATGGAAGGGAAAGGTTACTGCACTTGTTTATAGACTGGGGCCAGTGAACCATGACTCAAACAGACCTCGGCTAACGCGGTTGTCACCTCTAGCGAGAATTTCGGCCTCGTCGAATTTGAATGTGTGACCGGATCTCGTCTAATGAGTAGCAACTTGAGAGCTGGCATCATTTCTCCGCACCGCTGCAGCGTGTTCGACCATTCGCGTTTGGAGCAGTCATCCGGTTTCTCCGGCCTAGTTACTTCATCCCTAATTGCAGCAGATCTGATAAACGACTCCAGATGTTTCTTGACTGACGACGCGAATGTTGGCCATTGAACGGTCATCTCACCAATTACAACAATCCCAGATTAAGTGTGGGGAGGTGCATTTTAATGGGTATGGTGTAGCACGGCGACTGAATCCTACAAATACCGCAGCCCGTTGTGCATGAACCACACGTATCTGCTGTTGTTTCTGGTGATGAATTCGAGCAGGAATCCGAAACGTCAGACGAATAAAGCTCTTGTTTCAGCGATCGCGGCTACCTCCTCACGACCGATCCCTGGGACTCGTCTCTCTTGGTGAAGGGATACTGTTGAGTTGTAATGACTCTGGACTGCTCATGGGTGTCAGAGGTTTGAGTCAACAGTCCCTTCTGTTAGGGACAACAGAGTGAGTGCATGGAATAGTGATAACAATAAAAATATTGCAAGTCACGACCATCATGAAGACGAAGAAAGCAGCATCACTAGGCAAATTTCAGAACATCACAGAGACGGTCATTGGTAGATTAGGAATGTGATAAGTGTGAACCGTCAGCGGTTGGTCACGATGTCAAGTGACGTGTTAATTCAGTTGACGCAATTAAACACAAGAGGACAACCATTTATACAGCAGCGCAGACTTTAATCATTCATGGTCTATACAGAGCGTGTACCGCAGAATAAGAGAACATCATCCAGCGTGGTTAGGAAAGCGCCAAATAAAGAAAATTAACGGCTCAATCCTGTGGGCACTTGGTAGACAAACCAACGTGTAGGTTCCATCGAGGCCTTCCGAGAGATTAAAAAGGTTCCGTCAAGCTATCCAAAACTATTTAGGCAGCCTCTGTTGACCACGGCACCGGCGGCTGCAATCAGGCTACGCGAAACGGTCCTATGCGCAAAGAATAACTTCCTATAGGTCTCACAGTTGCCATGGTTCAAAGCAACCAAACCAGCTACGCGCATATAATCGCAGCTCCCAGTGCCCACCAACCCCTGGCACTGACCGGAGTTCTGGTGTCTCACCCCCTCCCCCACCCCAAACCCGAGATGCAGCATAATCATCTACTCCCTGCATGTTTTTATTCCTTATTTCAATAGCAATATAAACGTACAGGACCGAAGAAAATTTCTTGGAAGCAGACGTATGCTGGCTTGATTGCCTTTCGAATTAAAAAAAGAACTGAGCGGGGCACGGTATACGAATCCTTCCTAGTACAAGCGTCCCTCGATTAACTTTCAGGGGGCGGGGGTGGTTAGTGTTAGGGTTGGGGGGGTTGAAACCAGGATGTCTCGGATAAGAGTAGTGACAGTTAGTGTTGAGGGTAGAGAGGCAGTGTTGTGGTGAGTTTTAGGAGGGCTTCGTCGCCCTACAACGGGCCTCACGGGAGTTGCACAGGTACAAAGCACGGTAGGTCACGGCATACGTTATTTGGCGGCGCACCTACAAAAAGTGCTACACACGGCACACCTAGGTGCAGGTTCACGACGCACCAGTCACCAGCGTCCGATCAACTTTCGGTCTTCCTGACTCAGTCTTGTCGCCGGCCTCAGGCGAGTGAGGTAGGAGAGAGTGCGGCAGTTGCAGCGAATGACCACTACCAGCACAAACTTATTCACACGCAAGTCACCGTCGCTGCACCATCACAATTGCGGGACACACGGTAGACAGAGTCGGTAACGAAGGTAGAAGTGCCGTCAGGAAAGCTAGTTATACGGTTAACCTTAGATCAGAAGGAGAAGCGATCGCTGGATCAAGGGCTTTATTCGTCTGACTTTTCGGATTCTCACTTGAATCCATCATCCGATACAGTGGCAGAAAAGGGTGACTCGTGCACAGGAAATCGCAGTATTTGTAGGATGCAGTCGCTATGCTACCGCAGACCCCTAGCATTTAACCGCGCTCCCCTACGTCAAGGATGGGTGCCCGCTGGTGCGCTAATGGCTTGATGGCCGGCATGCAAGTTGTTAATTGTCGAAATGTCATTACCCGTGTTGAATGCTGGCGTGATGATTGCTCGGCCATCTGGCTCACCGGCTTGCGCGCTCCCCGAGTGGTCAATTACCTTGGCCAGCCTATGCCTCAGCACGGAATATGGAATGGAAATGTCATTGCACTTGTTGATAGACTGAGGTCCCCTGAACTATGACCCAAGCAACTCGCGGCTCACGCGATTATCCCCTCTCGCGAGAATTTCGGCTTCATCGAACTTGAATGTGTGGCCGGGTCTCGTCGAATGGGCCGCGACCTGAGAGTTGGCGTCATTTCTCCGTACCGCTGCCGCGTGTTCGGCAATTCGCGTTCAGATCAGTCTTCTAGTTTCTCCGACGTAGTTGCTTTGTCCGCAACTGCACCAGATCCGGTAAACCACTCCAGATGTTTCTTGCCGTGGTAGTGGGTTTTTTTCTCATCACATGACGCCTCATGGTGGCCTCCGCTCTGTGTGCAACTCCAACCCCATGAGGTGCAAGAAGGCGGCTAACGGCCTCGGAGACGTTCTTGATGTACGGGATCGCTCGCCAGAATTTGGGGTCGGCACGGTTCTGTCTGTCGTCTCGTTTGCGCATACACAGGTTGACGAAGTTGCGCGGGTAAGCATTTTTTCTGAAAACCCGTCGAAGATATTGGGATTCGGCAACCTTGTCTTCCGGTTCACTACAGTGCGTCTCGACCCACCGATATAGCGTTCTTACGTAACTGCGTTTGCGGCTGATTGGCTGGTTACTGTTGAAGTTCAGTAGTTGCGTCGTGTTTGTCGCTTTCCTGAACACTTTGGTCTTTAGGCCACTACAATCTTTGCGACAGACGAGGCCATCAAGGAATGCCAGCTGGTTATTTTCTTCCTCCTCCATCGTAAAGTGTATGTCATGGAAGACGCTGTTGAGACGTTCTTTGAACGTTAGCACCTGATCCCGTTTGATGACGACGAAGGTATTGTCCACATACCGAGCCCAGAATTTCGGTCTGTGATGTTGGAAGACCAGCGACTCCAACCGCTGAAGGACCGCCTCGGTGAGGAATCCCGAAATCGGCGAGCCCATTGGTGTTCCCATCACTTGCTCGTAGATTGATCCGTCAAACGTGAAGTACGTCCCGAGACTGAACTTTAGGAGCTGAAGGACTTGGGCATGTCCGAGACGACTCTCCGTTTCATTGTTTTTGTCTCGTAGTAGTAACTCGACGGTCTCGTTTGCCAGATCCTGGGGGATAGAAGTTACCAGGTACGTGACCTCAAAAGATACCATAACCTCATTTGGCAAGAGACTTACTCCTTTAAGCTTCTCCAGGAATTGTGTTGACGAACAGACGGTGCTGTCCGAATCAGCGGTCAGAAATTTGAGGAGCCGAAACAGCCATTTCGCCAGTCCGTACGTTGGAGTGCCTTTAAGCGATACAATGGGTCGGAGAGGAACGCCCTCCTTGTGCACCTTGGGGAGACCATTGAATCGGGCCACGGCCGTTTCTTGGACTCTCGCCATGCGTCGGTCGGTCGGTGTTATTGCACCCGAGTTCTCCAGTGCCAACAGTGTCGCATTAATTTCGCGTGTCAGCGTCTTTACGGGGTTGGTTTCACAGGGAAGATAAAACTGGCGATCCTCCAGTAGGTTTTTGGCCTTCAGAGGTTAGTCTGTTCTGTTCAATACGACGGTGGGACGCCCCTTGTCCACAGGCACGATGACGATGTCCATGCCGGCCTTGAGTTCTCTTAGTGCATCGCGTTCCACCTTTGGGAGTATTTCGCGCGACTTGTGAGTCATAAGGAGGGACGACACTTGGTGTCGGATAAGGTTCTTCGTCTCCTCCGCCGATTCCGTCTGATTAATGACCGATTCCACTGCTGCAATCATGTTGACAGGTTTGGCGTCAGCTGTGTTGAATGAGGCTTCGTGACCTAAAACCTCTACTTGCTCCTTCGTCAGTTCCTTTGACGACAGGTTGTGTGCCAGTGTGCCGCCTCTGAATGATGTCGGATCAGGCAGTTTATGGAATTTGTTCCCCAGCACTGCCTCGCGTGTCGCTCTCTGCTTGGGTCATGGTTCACGGGACCTCGGTCTATCAACAAGTGCAATGACATTTCCACTCCATATTCCGTGTTGAGGCATAGGCTGGCCAAGGTAATTGACCACTCGGGGAGCGCGCAAGCCGGTGAGCCAGATGGCCGAGCAATCATCACGCCAGCATTCAACACGGGTAATGACATTTCGGCAATTAACAACTTGCATGCCGGCCATCAAGCAATTAGCGCACCAGCTGGCAGCCATTCTTGATGAAGGGGAGCGCGGTTAAATGCTTTGAGTATGCGGTAGCATAGCGACTGCATCCTATAAATACTGCGATTTCCTGTGCACGAGTCACCCTTTTCTGCCACTGTCTGTGACGATGGATTCAAGTGAGAATCCGAAACGTCAGGCGAATAAAGCCCTTGTTCCAGCGATAGCTTCTTCTTCTGATCAAGTAGTTCCTGTAACTCACATCTTCGCTTGTATCGGTAACGTTAGAGTTAGGAAATGAAAATAGGCGCACGCTCGGCCTCGGCATAACCCGAATACAGTCTGATCACGCCTTTTGATGAGGAGCGAGTGTTTGCACTTCTCTGACTTACATTCAGCAGTTGTTTACTAACTTTGATGCAAGCTCGTGGGCCGTGCAATTCTCGTTACTTTAGAGCCAGTTTGTTATAATATTTGAGTAGACCATTCGCGCTTAGGACAGGGCCAGTTGTCAAGTCTTGGCGTTGACACAGGCTTGGATAGATAATGAAAGATGGGGCGGAATTTCCTGCTTTCGATCGAAAAGAGGGACCTAATAGAGCAGAGTGGCATCTATGAAACCCCCTTCTAGTTCATTTTCTGTTTCGGGCCACTTTTACGAAAACCTCCCACGAGGTAGACTCGTAGCGTGTCCGCACTTAATTCAACACCACAATTGATCAGCAGGTCTATCTGCTGTCGGGTGAGATCATGGACATTCTGATCCATATGGGAGACACGGTCACTTATCCGCTCTAATTGATTCGAGATCTGGCAGCTTAAAACCTAAGAAGTACTCGCTCAAAACCGAAGTTTTTGAAGGGCATCCTATGAACTCGTGGCTGCAGTCCGTCTCGCGGACAATTAACCCTCATGTCGCTTTCTTTCAAGGACATTCGGCGAAAATGTCCGAAGGGCGTCCATGACTCTTATTATCCCGTGATAATGAGATAAAGCCAGTGGAACGAGAGCGACGTCCACGAAGCAAATCCTCACCAAGAAAATCGATTGGTAGTGTAACATCGACTCTCGCCGCGACAACCCCGCCTCTGTCTTCAGACCGATCAAGGTACCGACTGTCACACAAATCTAGGAGTGAGTGCGTGCTGGGCACATTAACTGTAATACTTACAACGGTACGTTAAAAACCGTGGTTTGGAAGGCTGCCAAATGAGGGGATAACTCAGTCTTCTTCGCAGGACGGAGAACCAGACTGCAGTGGCTCGCTCTTAACGCGGCCTCAAACACATTTGGAATCAAGGCCACCCCACGCTTGTGTTTTTAAAACCAGGCGTGCCTGGAACGCGCCGGACGGACAGGGCCTAAGCAGGAGATGTGAGAGTGCGGTAGACCCAGCACAAGTCTACTATCCCTTCAAATTAACCCAGACGCGAGTCACCGCCCTCCTATCCAACCTGTTCTGAGGCACATGATGTACATTGTCGGAGACGACGGTCAAATCTCAACTGTAATACCCGGCCGAATGGATACGGCGCTCATCTATCTCGTCTTGCTGCAAGGCGGATGACAATTCTGTTTTCTTTGAAGTTACTGTTCCAAGGTCTCCCGGTCGAGCGCGTGGCGACGAAGCAATAATTGAATAACGCGATTGACGAGAATAAAAGGGATTAGAATGGCAACATTAAAATTATTTGCCACCTCTCTTCCCGATCGCAGTCAACAGGATGTGGGCGCCTGACTCGTCAACCCAATGAGGTGTTAGAATTGGAGACTCCTTGGCTGGTGATTGGACGCAGAATGTTTCAGACAGCGCGCCAGTCGGCAGAGAGGCTCGAACAGTCGACTGGTGCATTGGAGAGGGCAAGGGTGTGGCCGACACAAGAAGACCCATCCTCACATCGGTGCATCCCTCGCAGCACAAAACGCGACGCGCCTGAATATATCACAAAAACAGCAAGAATCGCGGCATGAATGGCTGACAATCGTTCGTCTCAAGACTGGGAATGAGGCTGCAATGACTCCTTCCGACAGTAGCCTTCCCCGATACTTTCGAGATGAGAGACCCGAGCAATCCTGATTGTGGCCTGGAACATGCATTGAGGAATGGATCGTGCGTGGCACATCAAGACAGGCCTGTTCAGCCTTGTCAGCCACTGAGCCCGCGTCGTTCCCCACCTGTCTCGAACTCCCTCCGGCAACGAAGTAATATGGGTGAGAGAGGGGTGGCTGCTGAGCAAACATGCCTCACCCTGCCTTGTTTAATTTCCAAGGAAATTCTTCGAAACTGGCCTTTTCAGGCGCGGTCCGAAACTCGAGATGAATATTTGAGCTGAAATTCATCACCTGCTGCGGAATAGCCGCGTGATATTCACAAGCCAGGCATACAGTAGCATAGAACTGTGTAACTATCTGCCATGCTGACAACAAAGGTACTAGATAAAAGCTCAGACACGCGTGCGTTGCCGATCCTATGCCGCTGCCTGACGCAGCTGTGAGGGGTTCGATTCGCCAGTGGTCCCACCCCTCCCCCCCGCCTTCCCCGCGCGTTTTCTGGTAACCTGAACCCTAGTTTCACCTTGTCTTGTTTGACTTCCAGTGAAATTAATGTGCGAACTTAGAGAAAGGTCTTCGGAACAGGCCTTTTCAGGCCTCAGTATGATCTAATTCACGCGCTAGCCAGCGGTACAGCATCAGGTTAGTGGACGTCGTCGCCTGCGACGATCCAGCTGTCTGTGAGGTCGAATCCTGACCACACGCTGCGTACTTTCACAAATGCAAACGCTCAGGGTTAAAAACGTCTCGCCTCGAACCCCCTCCCCTCAGGTACTACATTTGGCCCTGCACTAAATCACCCTGGGGTACATATTTCCCTGGCCTAACTCTAACCCTAAGCCTTATAGCCCTAACTTTCCCCCCCCCCCCCCCACCCTCTAATTTGGCGCAAGGCCGCCTGTTCATGTTCCTGTGTCCTACCCCGTCTTGCCACCACCACAGCAGCTTTTATCAGTCACAAGTGCCACGCAATGTACCACACATCAGGCTAGAATACCCACTCAGAACACCACTGAGGGCGGTAACTGCCTCAGCTGCAGGGGAGAGAGCCCAACAAGTTATCACTTCCAGTGATTGGAGACCTCCCTTCTATCCAGCGTATTCTCACGCTTCATGCAGGATGTGTCGTTGCTAACCGCAGAGGCGGGAAGCTGGTTGGAAAATAACACAAAAAAAAAACACGGAAAAAGGCAAGCAAACGCACAGGGATTGTGCGTCATTTAAATATTGTTTGTGCATAAGTAAAAAATAAATCATACTGCATGCGAATAGGACGCTCTGTTCGCATTGCAGGCGTGACTTTCCTGTGTACTTCCACGTAATCGTTAGAAGTCAGATTAATAGAAACAGAGAGGAGAGGAGAAAGAGAGAAAAATTGAAAGAAGCAAAACAGCCTCGTGTGTAGGCAGAGTTTCAAACAAAAAGTACTAGCATGTATATTGAACATTCTCGTCTACCAATTTCAGCTCCATAATGAGCACGAGGGGGGAGGCGAAAAAAAAAGGGGGGGGGTGAACAGTGCAACTTGAGAAGGCGGGAGGGGTGCGGGAACACTGGTTGTTTTTATGATAATCAATTGATCATAATTGTTTCTTCTTTCAGGCAGAATTTGGGCGGCGGAGCAGAGTACGTGTCTGATGAGCTCTACTCCTGCCCGAAACCCTCGGTCTCCTCAATGGCTAGGGATAGCTTCTCGCTGAGCTGCTCGTAGGAGGTGTAGGGCGGCAGATCGAGACGGTTGAAGCAGGTGTGACTGCGAGGCAACCAAGCCTCCGTGCCGGTACGTTCGATGCAAAAGAGCTGGCGTCCGTTGCTCCCTGAAAAAAAGTGAGAAACGGGATGACACAGGTAGTCTGCACCAACAAGGCCTAGTTTACCAACCTAGAGTTGGTCGTGCAAAGCTGCGAAAGTCCTCGCCTAATTTTTGGTGCATTCCCCAGTACAAAACGAGATTCCGCTGAAAGGGGTCAAATGGTTTTCAGCTGTAGTCTCCTCGAAACGACATTAAACAGACACAAGACCGTTAACCTAAAATGAAGTTCTAAAACAAAAAGTCTTAGGACGGGAAAATGAGCTACTGCAAAAAGTTTTATCTTGTGGAAAATGTGTGGGTATACATTCAGTTGTATAAAAATGGGCCCATCTGAAGGTCCAACTTCACGTACCGCGACGGTAATGCATACAATATTAATAATCTGATCTAAATCGCTGGTGAA